TCCACAGGCATTCAGGCAGTTTATCACTTAAGCACTTAGCCTCATGGCAAGCATGTTAAACATGACAACACTAACATACAATGCAATATGCTAAAGTGAGTAAAGGCTCACCTAGTACTCCAAGCCAAAAAGATTGAAAAAGTTCGAAAGATGCATGATCCTAACTATGCAATATGGCTAATGCAACACATGCAAAAATGCAACTAATAGGCTCGACTACTAATATGACATATGATTTAATTTGATAGCATGCAGTCTAAGCACGTATTCAAAGAAGTATTTAAACTGTCAATGCAGTTCTCGATGTATGCAAAGCAAATGGATGCAAATATGAGGAATGCTAAACAAAACATGATGTCCCTAAACTAACCATCATAAGCTAGTAAATAAAAGGGACAAAGACGTGGAGTTGGAAGACATACACATTATTACATTACGCTCTTACAAAGGAGAGTCTGAATGAACTAACTAGCTAACTAATTAAAGCTAAGCTAATTATTACAAAACAAATGAAATTAGCTAAGCTACTTAACAAAGTATTACAACACTTGAATCAACTATTCAAGATAACTAAAATAATTACAAAACGGAATCGAATAACTAGTTAACTAACTAATTAATTACAACACATATCAAAATTAACTAGTTACAACTAATTAATTACAACAGATATCTAAGCTAAATATTTAAACTAAAATAGGCTCGGTACACGAGGAATGCTCATGCAAGTGCTCGGTTTCCACCCGAAAAACCACTGTTTTGCTTCCAAAAGGCCTCTGTTGCACAATAGAACACTAACACCTTTGTCCACTTCCAGGATAACTCTGCTCTGCTCAAAGAACACACTGCTAAATTTTGCATCAGTGGCCAGCCAGCCACCAGTGATAGCCGGCTGACCATCAAAGGTGGCCTGCCGACCATGAAAAATGGTCTGCCAGCCACTGCTGCACAGTTCATCTTGCTGTAACAAAGCATGAATAGGGTATTCTCAAGGGTTTGTTAGCACAACTCACCCCTTATTTTCATGGACAAATCAAAGGAGTAGCAAGCTTGTCCACAAACCACCAATTCAAGCAATTTCATTGCATGATGGCTTGTGAACCAAAGTGTGCAATTTTAATAAATGCAACAAAATAAGACTCTAACCTCCTCCCTTTCATGAATTGATCAAGGGAAGTGGTGACCTGGGATACTTGAACCATTTCATCACTAATGAGTATGAAATGCCTCAAGTTTCTATGTGTTCAATTAACGTCCGATTGAACACAACACCAATTATTATCTTGCACCATTTTATCCTCAATTTTATTACTCCATTTTAAATTACCATCCATCCTTTAATTCAATTGAGTCTAATGGTGAGCTTAAGCCCTCTAAATGGAAAGAAGGCTCAAACCAAGTGTTGTCTTAGGCATAAAAGAGACATCATACCATTGGTAATGAACCCCGAAGCGTTTAAACCATTAAGCATGATATCTCAATCTCATGCTTTAAACAAACAAGTTGTTTAAAACTACTTTCAAAGCAAAACAAAAGCCAAGAAATGAGAGAGGTTGCAGAAATGATTAAGAGTGATCACAAGGATGAAAATTCATAAATAAATACAATCAACTCAAATAAGATGGTGTCTAAGGCCTAGAACACCAAGCTTATGAGGACAATTACACTATAAGCACGCAAAACAAAGCTCAAATGCAGCTATCAACCAAAAATAGTGCTAAAACAGTCTAAAATAAGTCCTAAAACATGCTGGAATTAAGACAAAAAAATAACGCTAGATTAATATGCTAAAACATAGCACAAGCCTAGTAAGCAATACACAATGAGGGGAGGCTAATCCCTCCAAATTTGGACTTCAAAACATGATTTTGGCTACTGAAATAACTCTAAAAAATAGGGTTTGAAAGCTCAAAAAAAAGATAGTACAATGATGGGAAACACAAAGGAAAAGGCCTTCAAAACAAGGTGTAAAGAAGGGTGAACCACCCCTCAACCTTTAATGGCCTTAAAAAACCCAAGCTTCAGTCTAAAAACACAGAGTTTTTATAGCCTAAAAACTATTAGAAAATTGCAAGAATAATAGCAAATAAAACAAAGCCTTATACTTTTTTAAGAGAAGACCAATTCTAGGCAACAAATCAAGACAACACACCCTTTAAGAGCTCAAACCAAGCTCAAAAGTACCTCAGCTCAAAGATGAGAAGGTTTGGTTAAGGGTGTATTGGCAAAGGTTAAGGATTTGTAGGCTAAAGTGTAGAAATTTGAAAGAGAGAGAGAGAGAGAGATATAGAATTCTAGAGAGAAAGGAAAAATTTTGCTCTAAAATTTTGCTAACCTTAAAACATGAGAGGGAGGCCCTCTATATATAGAAAACATGAATTCTCCTCAAGAACATCCAGCCCTACACGTGGGTGCAGATGCAAGTATCTGTGCAAACAACTGGCACAACTGTCACAAAATATCTACAAAACACAGTGGTGGCCGGCCGACCATCACTGGTGGCCAACAGGCCATATCAGTGGTCGGAAACCAAGAGTGATGGTCGGCAGCCCAAAAAGGTGGCCGATAGGCCACCAAGGGTTGTAGGCTTGGAAAACCAAGGCCTGGTCCAAGAATGAGGCAACAGGGATGTAGGGTTTGAAAGACTCAAAGTTGTGGCATTCCGCTGAGGACTTCGAACACTTGACAAGCAAATAAACTCATCATCGGGTGTTCATGCGATGAAATCCAAGTCATAAGGGCCGTAAAAAAATAGGGTGTCTACAGCCGACAACAGTCTGATAACCAACTGATAAATCTATTTAGTGCGGCTGCCATTCCAGCAATATATTGCACGTCCTTCATGGAATTTGAACGTTCCAATTCTTGTATTGCCTTGATCTATGAAGGGTTGGCCTCAATCCCTCAGTTGGTGATTAGAAAACCGAGAAACTTCCTAGTTCCCACTCCGAAAGCACATTTAGAGGCGTTCAACCGCAGCTTGTGGCGCTTAAGGACGGCAAACATTTCAGCTAGGTTGCCAAGGTGTTGAGATTCTTCCTTACACTTGACCACCATATCGTCGATATAGGCCTCCATAGTGCGGCCAAGAAGAGGAGCAAACATCTTGGTCACCATCCTTTGGAAAGTTGCCCCAGCGTTCTTATGGCCAAATGGCATGACCTTATAGCAACACAAGCCTCTTGATGGTAACCGCGATATGCATCGAGAAAGCTAAACCTCCGGTGACCAGCGGTAAGATCCACTAGTTGGTCAATCCTTGGGAGTAGAAAGCTATTGTTGGAGCAAGCACGATTGACTGTCTTGTAGTCGACGCATACTCGTCATTTTCTATTTTTTTTTGGCACCACAATTGTTTTTGAGACCCATCTGGGGTAGTGCACCTCTTCGATTACCCCAGCTTCCAGTAAGTTTCTGACCTCTTCGGCTACTACTTCAACATGGTGTAAAGTTGAGTGCCGAGTTCTCTGAATGACCGGCCGTGCGCTTTGAAAGACATTCAACTGGTGACAAATGAAGCTAGGGTTGACGCCAGGCATGTCGTAAGGTGTCCACATGAAGACTTCATTGTTGGAAACCAAAAAGTTTACATAGTCTAGCCGCTCGGCGCTGGTCAGAGACGAACCCAAAAGAAAGAACTTGCTTAGATCACTCTTATTGATGCAAACCTCTACCAAGTCTTCCACTGATTTCTCCTTGGCTTTTCTTCCTATATCCTCCAGGACTTATTTGCCTTATGGCCCCTCTATTATCTGGACAAAGCCTTTGGCCACCCAGCTGTCATTTACCACAACAAAGCATTGTTTGGACATCACCTGATCCCTCCAAACTTTTTCAATTTGTCCAGTTGAGGCGGGAAAACGCATGATCTGATGATAAGTCGAAGCCACTACTTGCATGGCATGCAACCAACCCCTCCCCAAGATCAAATTGTATGTCGACGAGACCTTCAGCACCCAAAACTTTACCTGCTTCATGACCGACCTAGCCTTGATCGGCAATATGATCTTCCCGATCGGCCATTCCGATTGAGAGTTGAAGCCGACCAAAGGAGATGTTACTGGGGCCAAGTCCTTGTCCTCTAACTTCATCTGATTGAATGCATCATAGTACATAATCTCGACTGAACTCCCTTGGTCGATCAGTATTCTCTTGATGTCAAAATCTCTGACACTAAGCGTTACTACCAAAGCTTCATTATGTGGGGTTTGAATTCTTTCCAAGTCCTTGCTCGAAAAGGTCATGATGTCTTTTACCTCAGTTTTCCCTTTCTTCACGGCGGGCTGAACAGAGAGCACTTCCCTCATGTGCTCGACCTTTTTAATCATCCCCTTGAGCTCGCAAACTCGCGTTGGCTCGATGATACCATGAATAACATTGATGACTCCTTGGGGTGATGTATCCAAGACAACAAGGCCATTTGGCTCGGCTTGCCCTTGTGGAGCAACCCTCATACCTCCGTCTATGTATTGGTCCAAGTGCCCAACCACAACCAACTCTTCCAAGTGTTGTTTCAACGGAACGCAGTCCTCCGTGCAGTGCTTTCTTTCTTCATTAAAAGTGCAGGGGTACCTTGAGTTAAAGCCCCTCTGTGTGTCTCCCAGTTTTGCTAGCCAACGGACGTATGGCTTACCTCGGATTTCACTGAGGATGCGCTAAATTGGGATCTTAAAAACTGTTGTGATGCCGGTCCGTGCCTTCAACTTTCTCTTGGTGTCTTCCTCTTCATTGTGAGGAGTGTTAGCTCGGTCATTCCCACGGCCTTTGTTTCTGTTGTTGTGGCTAGCACGGCAATGTTGTTCTCTAGCTCAGTTATTAGGGCGGTTATCCTCCTGCTCCACCGAGTGAACCTTTCCTGTGACACGTTTGTCCCTTGCAACCGGATTTGCCTTCTCGGTTGCTGTGGTGGCATCGTTCTCAACTCAGATGTGCTCGTTAATTCGTTGTATTAGTGATTCCATGGTTATGGGCTGGTGCATTATAAGCAAGTCCCGCAATCTATGTCCGACTGGTACGCCTTGCTTATATTGGGTGATTACCAGATTTGTGGGGCAATCAAGGATCTCATTGTAGGTCTCCTAATATTTGGTATTATATGCCTTCAAAGAACTACCCGATTCCATCTTGATACGCAGGAGCTGGTCAACTTCCTTCGGTGTTCGAGTATTGGTCTTGAATTTCATGACAAAGGCTTTCGCTAGTTGCTGCCACCCCTCGATACTCCTCTCCGGGAGCCTTTCGAACCACTTCAGGCCCAACTCTCCCAAACTTCCTGGAAATATGAGGCATATCAAGGCATCGTTACGCCGATGGCCTGCCATTACTTGCTGGTAATGACTAATGTGCATGTACGAATCCGTCTTGCTATCGTATAGCGTGAACTTAGGTTAATGGAATTCGACGGGGAGGGGCATGCTTTCAATCTCTGGAGACAGTGAGGTGGCGATGAGTCTTGCCAAGTCTCTATCCACCGATGTTGAAATCTCCATTCTAGGTGGCAGCATGGCCACCTCCTCACTGTAATGGATTCTGGGACTTAGCCTTTGCAGCACCAGCACTCTTTGGGCCTTCCCGCTATATGCGCGTTCTTTCAAGACGGCCTTCAGTTCCTCTGAACAAGGAAAGTAAGAGTATCTCGACGTTGTCGACAGACACAAGGAACGATAGCTGTTGTCGCGCGTGTGTGATCTCTCCATCGGTGGGTCAGAATCGCCAATGTCGTAGCTCCAAGTGATAGAGAGGGAGGGTGTCTCCCGTTGGTGCTGGCTACCTGAGTAACGGGGTTAGGTGAGCTCACTGTGGTTTCCCACTTTGACAACACCCCTCCCTTTGATTTGTCGCTTCAACGTCTCCATCTCAGTCGCTATCTTCTGAATTAGGGTGTTCTGGTCTTTGAGTTTATGCTCTAGGCACTAAGCATGCGATTCTCCTCGCTACCAACGCCCCTCAGGACTCTAAGAATGTTCAGTGCTCCTCGTGCGTTTGTCTCACGCGTCTCTGGGTAGCCCTCTAAAGGAGGTCTCCAGGCCCATCATTGTCGGAATGACGGGAGGGCTATCTCTTCTCCGGATTGACTCTAGAGTGATGCCATCAACAACAGACAACGGTGTTTCGTCCATGTTCGCCATGAAAAATAGTCGAAAAAGCTTGTAGAACAAGGGTTATCTGTCAAAGACATTCTCACAAATGGCGTCAATTGTACGGGAAAGAAATATTCGCCCCGCTCTGTACCTCCTTGCTTCCAAGCTTGTCGCACTCCATTAGAGCTTCGTCGTGCTACGAATAGAGCAAAGGTGAGCTACCCAGTGGGTGGGTTTGCCAGAAAACCCCTCCGACGGTCAAGTTAGCTTGCTAGGAGAAGAGAGAAGGCAAAGAGCACTGTAGAGAGAGAGAGTTACACAAGATTGCTTACCTCCAAAGTCTGCATGCTCCTCTTTTCAAGGCTAGCCGTGGGTTACAATTGAACAGTTGAAATAGTCGATTTTCAATTTTTCAATTTTATTTTACATTTTCACGTTGCATTGTGAATGTTCACATTGATATGAGTTTTTTTTTTTTAATTTTAAAACTAGTTGTATATTAATTGTAAATTGTGAACATTCACATTGTATTTTGGTATAAGTTTTATTTTTTCGAAAGTTAATTGTATGTTTATTGTTTTTGTTACTATGCTTGTTAGTTGAATAATAATTTTTGTTACCATTGAACAATTGAAATAATCGATTTTCACTTTTTTTAATTTTGTTTTATATTTTCACGTTACAGTGTAAATGTTTACATTAGTATGAGTTTTTTTTTTAAGGTTAGTTGTATGTTAATTATAAATTGTGAACATTCACATTGTATTTTGGTATGAATTTTATTTTTTTCGAAGGTTAGTTGTATGTTTGTTGTTTAATATGAACATTCACATTATATTTTGATTTTTATTTTGATTTTTTGTTGCGTTATTTTTAAAAATTTCAAATTATAAAAAGGTTCAAAATTTATAATATGATATTTTCTCTATGGAATGCGCGAGAGGTTTTCTCCTTAAAATAAGGGAGAGATTTTCTTTGTGAAATAATGGAAAGATTTTTTTTCTTTAGAATGAAGGAGGGATTTTCTCCATAAAATGAAGGACTATTGTTATCTATTAGTTTCAAAATAAAAACATGTGTAAAAAATTAAAAATGATGATTTGATCATATTACAATAAACATAACTTAATGAAATATTTAAAAAGAATATGTGTTAAATGAAATAAAACACTTAAAAAGAAAATTTATCAAAAAAATCACACAATTTATCTTGTGACTTTGTGAAACAATGAATTGGGTTAGCTCATTTGGCCACCACATACACATTTGTGTTGGTTGGAGGCTGTTTTCAATTTTTAGCAAAGATAAAGATTGATAATTCTCTCTCTTATGGAGCACTTTGTTGAGTTGGTTATTGGATTCTCCCTTTTTTAGGTTAAAATTCACACAAAGATAAAATAGATTAAAATAGTTAATAATATAAAATGTCATATCAAATTCATAATTATTTAACTTTTTCTCTCACCAATATTACATCCAATTATAAAAGAATTCAATCATCTTCCCAAACACAAAAATTTTAACCTACTAAAATAACTTACTAAAATAACAATTTCCCAAACACTCACATTATGTTGATTGTTTCTTCTCATTAAGGGATTATTAGGATTGAGCAAGAAATCCGTATAATCCGTAATCCGATCTGGTCCAATCCAATCTGGTAGGTTTAGATTGGTTTTTTGAATCCATGGTTCAGTTCTGGATTGGAAATTTAAAGATCCGTAGGCCACGGATTGGTTCCAGATTGAACCCCATGGTTCCATATTAGAACCGATCTGGACCGTATACAAATAGTTTATATTTATACTATAGACCATCCCACATAATATCATTTCTTATTCCATATAAAAGCTAAACCGTTATTCCATGCTGCTGCTATGTTGCTGCTATGCTTTTGTTTGTTTGTTGCTTTTGTTCATGGAGTTTTGTTACTTTTGTTTGTCTAAAACCAGTTTTCTTATTTTTTTTTATTTGATGCTATGTTTAGTTTTAATACAGAGGAGAACTCTACTTTATGTAATGTGTATCCAATTTTATTGTTTTTGTTTGTTGCTTTTGTTTATTGCTTTTGTTTGATGTTATGTTTATATTTTTATGAAATTAAAATGTTATATATTTTTTTTCTTATTTAATTATATAAATCCATGGTCTTAAACCGATCCAATCCGTATTTAAACGGATTGGTTCCACAATTAAACAGATTGGATTGGTTCTAATTTTTCAGGAACTGTAAATAACGGATTGGTCCTAATTTTATCCCAATCCAGACCATGCTCACCCTAGGAATTATTCGTTATTTTTATGCCATGGGTTGACCACAGACTTTATTTTAATTATTTAATTTGTTGTCCTCTGTAGATCATTAAAAAAAAAAGTGATTTGATAATTATAACTACTTAATTTAAATATATTTTTCTCAAATAAAATTAAAATTGACAAGTTTAATTTTAAAAATAAATCGTTTATTATTTAAAAATAAATATAATTAAATATCATGACTATAATTATGAGATTAACTTAATTTTTTTCATAAATGAACTATACATACTTAAAAAAAATTAAAAATTAAAGAGATTCGTGTTTTGACCCATGGATCCAAACTAGATCATTGGATCGTCCAAGAAGATCGGACAAAATTAGCTCATAAAATTGTGTAGATTTTTATTCAAAATGAAAAGTTTATGATTGAGATTGAATGTATATAGTTCAGGATTTATTCGTTGAATAAATTTGAATTAAAAAAATAATATTTTTTGATAAATTTTTAAATAAAGTTTTATGGTTTCTTTGGTTGCAGAGTCTCAATCTCCAAAAGAAAAAATATATATATATATATAGTGCTAAAAAAAAATCCCTAATGCTGTGTTTGGTTAGGGGATTTGAGGGATTTGGAAAGGAAAATGGAAAAGATAGGTGAAATGTGAATAAAACATGCCTATATTTCACCTAGTTTCACACACCTTTTCCCTTTCCCTTGCCAAATCCCTCTCTGAATCCCTCAACCAAACACAGCGTAAACATATACCAAACCTTAGTTGGAAGAGTGACTGAGAAAAAGATTAGAGAAAAAGCAGAAGTCAATCTACCAAACCTTCCCGAAGAAATTGTTATCGAAATACTCTCAAGATTACCCCTCAAATCTCTCGTAAAAATCACTCTTGTTTCCAAGCAATGGCGTTCTTTGATTCAATCAGGTTTTGTGAAAATCGTACCACGAAACAATGTTCTCGTTCGTGGAAGGTTTTCTCTTCACTCCATCGACCAAGATTTTCTTGTGAAAATCGTTGATAAACCTGTGGAAAAAAACCCATATGAAATCTTCAGTTCTTGTAATGGGTTGTTGCTTATTAGGATTCGCGATCATTTGTTCTTGTGGAATCCGCTCACCAAGTGTTCGATGAAAGTCCTCTCATATGAGCCCTTGTTGTGCACTAGTTATAGTGTTGTTTCTAGGCTTTGCTTTGACTCATTTAGTAATGAGTATAAGGCTGTAATGGCCCTTTCTCATGACATTACACTCTTCGGTGGTGAATTCGTTGTAGTTAGTAGTTTCCGAAGCAAAACTTGGACAGAGATCAACTTCCCATACCATTTTTGTAGTGTGAATTCAGGTCCTGTGGTGAATGAAAATCTACATTGGTTTGCCTCTGATAAAAGTTCAGATCACTTCTTTGCACCCCATGAAATCGTTTACTTCAATCCGCGAATGAACAAATTCAAGAAATTACCAATGCCACAACTTAAGAATGGACATGGAGATATTATGCTTGGTTTGGGAGTTTTGGAAGGATGCCTTTGTATGGTTAGACTCAGGAGAGGAGGAATGCGGAGTATCAGACTTAGAAGAGGAACAGAACCATGGATAGCCATGGGAAGAGGTGAAGTTGGCGAAGTTGTGACACGAGATAGAGTTAATCCTAGTTAAAATTTCCGAAATAAAAAACAAACAGCAAATCAGCACATCAAATTTTGATTAGAGACCAAATAAAACAATGTTAAGAGATGGTTAAGATGTATTTGGATTTGGGTGGAAGGTAGCTCAATACAAGAAAGGAAATCAGCCAAACGAAGATCTTTTGTACTTTTTCTATCCCTTCCTCAATAATCTTTAACTTTATTTTCTTTGTTTCATAGTGATTTTTCCTTCTTTTTGTTGTTTTGAATGGAAAGTGTTAATGCTTAGTTTGTGATTAATAGATATTTTTCAGATCATGTTGGATAAGTGTGCCTAACTTTTTTAAATTAAATATTTAATTGACCATGTGCAGTGATTATAAAAGTATCCTGGCGAACCATATCATGTCCCAACTAGGTTGGTAACAAGGAGAGAGTTTAATCATACATGCATCAAAAACGAAAAACAAAAAATCACAGAGAGAAGTTCCTAATAACAGAGTCCAAAATCAACCCACTCAAAAACAAAAGTACAAAACATAAATGTTGAATCATGAATCAATCCAATTCATTACATCAAGGTTAGATAACCACAATATCAGCAGCCCTCAAAATGACACACCATTTGCCTTCATTCGCACTTTGAATGAACACACATCAACAATGTAGAAGGTGATCAATCTTGCAATCAAACATGATAAAGTGAATGCATAGAAATCTATAACATAGTACCCATTCTTAAATGTTAAAATCAGTGCCTTTGATTTTATCCACAATGCAAATATAAGAACTTCTAACTAATTCCTTCACATCGCACCACACCAGATGCTTATTTTAACAAAATCAGCCCATTCCTTGTTTTCCATAAAATCCATAAGATTGCCATAGGCATTGCTTCCCAAATTAATTTAGGAATTCTATACCTCTACGATTGGCAATGGAACATTTTAATGTGTGATCTCTGGGTTTTTTTTCCATAATATATGATATTCTAGTTTTTCTCTTGCCCAGGAAATCATATAGATCTATTATTACTTCTGTACATATATTACTGTATGGTTGATTAAGAGAGAATAGTGAAATAAATAGCTCAAACAAGCATAGGTTATCAAAGATCTAACATGAATGGTCTAGTACACAACTAATCAATGGTTAAAGCTCAACAAACATTCTGGTAGATTTTTTGAATGCTTCAAATTAATCTTTCATAGTTCTAACTCTTTATCTCAAATGTGATTCGCATATTTAAATTCAGACAACCACTCATTTTTCTAATTAATTGTCATTTTAATAGATTCAAAATGGTAAGTACTAGTGTAATCATGTCATTTTGTACACATATTTGGAGATTTGGATCATCTCTATTAATTAGTAAAAGAGAAAATTGGTGATAAATTCAATTTAAAGAGAGTATAAGATATTAGATTCAGTGGATATTTTTTTGTTGGTGAGAGTCTACATTTTGTGAAATAATTTGGTGAAAAGTCCCGAAGGACATTTTGTTTCCAATTTTACCCCTTAACTTTTTTTAATCTATTTGACTTTTTGTTGATTATCTGTTCAAATTTATTTTTATCTCTTCAAATTTTAAACTATTTGTTCAATTTCTTTACCCAATCTGTTTAATTTTGTGATCTTTTCAATTCAAATTTCTCTCATCTGTTTAGATATCTATCCAAATTTATTATCTGTTAAAATAAAAGAAAAACCAAATCTTATTGGTTGAAATACAAAGCTAAACCAATCCTATATGTTGTAATAATAGACAAAGTATTATCCATTATATGATGAAATGCAAATCTTTGTTATTGAAATAATTAAGCCACTATTCAAATTTTATTATCTGTTGAAATTTTGAACTAACTTGTCATATCTGTTAATTTTTTTTTTAATCAGTTGAATCTGTTTCATCATCATCATCATCACCAACAACAACCAAAAAAAAAAATTCAATTTGGAGAGATCTTTGGATGTGTGCAACAAATTTGGAGAGAGACAGATATATATACAAATATATATATCTAAAATATATATATATATATATATAAGTTCACTTGAAGGAGTTGCAAGAGAGGGAACTTTTTTACCGCTGCTTATAGAGAGAGAGAAAAAAAAGAGAGAAGCAACAGTGGCAGTCTCTTTCCGCCTCTGCCATGAGAGAGGCTGAGAGCCAAAGACATACACTGCCATCTCATTCGCCATGTGAGAATCGTAGATCTATAGTAGATCTGCGGCGGAACTCGGTTCGTGAGGGCGGTGCCGCCGTGATTGAGTTTGGCTCTATCACCATGGAAGATCAACAGGGACAAAGGGAGAGAGAAGTGAGATTCTAACTAGTATATGATATATATATATATATATATAAGGGCAATTTGGATATTTTGCACTCATATATCCTTATGGACAAAGTTTTTTTTGGCTTGGATCTTTGAACCAAGAAAGATTGATTTTTGATTTTTGATTTTTGATTTTTGAACGGAAAGCCCATAGTAAAAATAAAAATCTTTATTTCAATATATAATGTTGTAATTTTTTTTATCAAGAAAAAATTTTCATTGCAAAATCGATAAAAGAGCGGATCAATTCAGTAAACGAAATTATAAGATCTCAAAAATAGATAAACAACCTCAATAAAATGAAGGATCCATGCCTCCATAGAGTAGGAGAAAAACCCCCCACAAGGAAGAGAAATAAACCCCCATATAGAAAAATTATTACATCAACAAACTAAAAATAAGAAAACCAAACCGAAAAAAAATACCAAATCCAAGTCATCACCAAACACATCCAAAACTCCACTATTCTGGAACCTTGTCAATTTAGTCTCTGTAGTTTCAATTTGCTCGATTTTGCTCCTTAATTTAATGGATTGTGTCATTTTAGTCCAATAAATAATAGCTTTTTAGTTAATTTAACAGAAAGTCAAACAATATGTCAATTTAGTCCCTGTATTTTCCACAATGTGTTAATTTAGTCTCTCTCAAAATTGAGAAAATTGAAACTACAAGGACCAAATTGACATATCGTGTAAAGTACAGGGGCCAAATTGACACATTATTTGACCTTCCATTAAATTAATTTAACAATCGTTATTTATTGAACTAAACTGACACAATCCGTTAAATTAAGAGGCAAAATCGAGCAAATTGAAACTACAGGGAGCAAATTGACACATCATGTAAAGTACAGGAACTAGTTTTATAATTTACCCTTAAATTTATATATGTTGAATTGTGTATAATTTAAAATCTTTCAACCCGCTTAAATAACACACCCAAACTGGCAATTATTTTATATATATATATATATATAATCAAATACTTCAACTATGAACAAATATTCTAAATTTTATTTTTATTTTATAGTTTCATAATTACATTACAAGGTTTTATGATTTTAGAATGTATTCATATAATGTGTTAAAATTTATAACTCGCTACCAAAATACCAACCTGTGATTTTAAAGTTGTGCGGGTTATTTCGTTCAAACCGCAAAATTAACCTGCACACAATCCTAATTACTCGTTCAATAATTCATTTAGTAATGAATTGTTGATACAAAATTAATGCAATAGAAAATGCAAGAAAATTAAGCTATGTCCTAATATAGTCCTTTTGGAATTGATAATGATTCCCCCACCAAAGATTAGAAGGCAATTGTGGTGATTAATTCATAACCCCTCCAATCTCTAAACAAATCAGGCCTATATGTTGTTGAGGCACTACGAGAGAGTGAAATATTGCATAGGTCAAGATTGTGTGGTCGTATATTTTTTTTACTATTATTTTGTTTTTGTTTTTGTTTTTTGGAATATATAATTATTACGTCTCTACTATTAATTGAATATATCATTGTCATGACCCAAACACGCCCCTATAAGTTTAGTGTCGTAACCGGCTAGTAATCTGAGATTACCAAAGGCCTTCCTATACAATCAAAAATAATCGGGGCTAGCGGAAACAATATTCAAAAACACTAATAGTCCAATGAACTGTGCATCTATATGAACAAAAATTTACATGCAAAATCGTTAATTTACCCACATTCAATACATAACTTGTATCTTAACATCTTATACATAACATATGCACATAACAAAAGTTTACTTCAAGATCAGAAGCTTGACAACGGCCTTCCAGGTCAAACCCCAACTCGGAGGCACTCAAAACAACTCAATAGGCTTCAAAAGGGTAGCTCGGCTAAAGACCCCTTTTAGACTTGACCTCGAGAACGCTCACCTATACATATATGTAAAAACAGTGAGCTAAAACTCAGTGAATAACATTAAAGTAAAGGGGTTAGTGAACGAATTTTAAATATATCATATCCGTAAAAAAAATCATGACACAATCATTCCTATCAGTCTCATATTAGAACATAACATAATTGTATACATCTCACAGAAGATATCACATATCATCTTCCGACTAGAGTAATCGATTCCGAATACCGATTAAACACATATCACCACAATGACGTGGCTAACAAGATCTCGTATTCACATATATGTCATAGACCCGCATTAACATGCCGTCCCCCATGACTTGGGACTATCTATGGATGTCATAATAAATTTCAAACATAGGACATTCGTTCACGTAAACAAATATCATTTCAGAAACCATAACTTATCAAATTACATTTGGAACATAATTCATATGAACATATCTTTACAATAACGTTACTCACAGTGGGCTTCCAGAACGGTTGGTCAAGCAGTCCTTGACTCGTGACCTACAATCACAAATATGCATAGCACGATACACAACCATCTTAAACATATTTAGTTCACTTAAGCTTTTAAATATAGGTGACTAGAATTATGAATTAATTAGATTATTAATTTCCTTTAATTTCTAATTAAAACATGTTTAGCCATGTATTAACCAGACTAGCTAAATATAAATAATATAATCGTAAACCAATCCTTATTAAGTTCACTAATTACACAATCAAGCCTAAATTAGGCTCATATACATTAAATTACAATTATTCAGTCATGTTTAAATTACTGAATCAGAAACTCATAA